GCAAGACATAATGGGGTGTCAGTAATCTAACATGCTGTTAGTTGTAATCTATATTATATTTACACTGTAAAAATTACATTTGATATATTTAATGGAATTTTAAAATGACACTTAAAAATTTTAGCTAGAAAATTTTAAAAAAGATGCCGACATCATTATCATCGTTTAACTTGTTTGGCCAAGATTTAACTGAGATTGTCGTTTAAATGTGTTCAATTAACAAATAAAAATTGGGACTTTTTGATGTACATATGGTGTTTAAATAAATATCTATAAATAAATTTAATACTAGTAAAAATTTAAAATTATTACGCACAATATCAAATAGAGACAAGGTATAAAGGTTAAACAAAATGGGACTGAGCGGAGAACCTTGAGGAAGGCCTTGATTAATAGTTTGAGGACCCATGGATGTGGCTCAAATTGTCTCGATCGACTAAAAAGGAATGTATTAAATTGACCAAATCCACTGAGACATTCGCATCTAGAAAAATGGAATATAACCAAGGAATATTAACCGAATCATATGCAGCAAAAATATCGATGAAGAGACCAATAGTAAATTCATTAAGGGATAAGCCTATTTGCACTTGTGAGGTAAGATAAACAAGACAACTCTTGCCTCTTCTGAAATAATTAAACTTTAATATTAATTTAAATCTATCATGTTGTTCGGACTTTAAAAATCACAACTTCTGACATCTTATTTGTCATGAAGATGTCAACGCTTTAGTAACAGTCATGTTTTATGTGTCTAAACCGGATCAACAAGGATGATACGGCGAAATCCCATTAAATAAACGATTCTTACGAGAGGGAAAAAAATTAAGGCGCTAGAAATTGCCAGATGAATATAAAGTTATTTTAGTTTTAAAAGAAACACGCAACACGTGCGCTGTGTGGTTATATTAAATGTTATTGTTTAAGATTTAATACCGGAAATGTTAATAATTCGTTTACCTAGTTGGTATACAGTGTGGATACTTTTTCACAATGACAGTATTATAAAATTGATGATGGTTCTTTAAAACTTTAAAAACTTTTTTATTGTGAATATGATTACAATAAAATTAGAAGAATAAAAAAAACCAAAAAGATAATTGTTTTGTTTTATTTTCTATTTGTAGACCTGTAAGTCAAATCCACATCCCCAACTAGCCATTCATAAAAGTGTATTTGTTGTGAAATTCTCATCACCATATATTGTATAGTCCAGGAGACAGTGACGATTTTCGGTATTTATTTTCCCAGTCAGCAAGCACGAATAGAGAATTGTAGGATTAGCAATTCTAAGCAAAATTCATATATATTTAGAGGGGGATCCGATGGGCTGAGGCCGAAAATGCGTCAAAACATACGAGAACACGGCCCTTTTTTTCCATTGATAAAAATAGTTTTAGTAGTAAGAGATGTACTGAAGTTAAGTAAAAAAATAGTCTGATTAATCTGTTTGGATAATATATTTGGCAAGTGCATAAAATACACTTTCAAACGAGTTATGTACACAATTATTTCTACGACCACAATTATTTAAAGAATGTTCCAGGTGTTTTGTATATTAAAGTGTACGCATAGGACACATAAATAAAATCTTATATCACAATGTTTCACCTAACCAGTTGGTTTATTTATAGAAATTAAACATAATAATTGAAGATATTACAGATGAAAATAGGGAAATAAATTACATTTCCTTTTACACTTTTATATAATAATTGTTTTATTTAGAATTCACGAATCACTTATTACTCTACATTAATTATAATTACTGTTAGTTTCGTTATGTCAAATCATTTATACTAGAGGTGTGAGGAAAATACAGTGAACTGTGGAACGCCAATATCGTTGGATGCGCGTGGTAGAAATGGTCCTATAATACTGCTAAAAACATAGCTAAATTTTCATGGAAACACTGTACTTTTGACATTTGCGATACTCCGACGCATATGCATTATTGATGTAATCTCATGATTTTACAGTAATAGTTTTTGCAATTTTAGTGTGATTTTTAGGTTATTATGGTTATTCATTTTATTTGGTTCTGATCTTTTGCGCTTTTAGAGTATTTGTCTTTTATATAGTTTTTAATTTGAATTTTAATATTGTGGTCTATTTATATTTGATTGCTGCTTTTCGACTAGTGCTTTATTATTTTTGTATTAAAATAAGCTTTATAACCAATAAGTACATGCTTCTAGTTGATATCTACCTTATCGTCATCGGGTGCTTGCAACAATGGGAAAAAGTGTATGGTTTTTTTGGTGTAAAGTTAGACGCCTTCATTTTTCAGGTAAGTTATTTGTAGTTATTTTTTACTTAAAAGGATAGCAATACGTCCTGGTTCGGGGTGTGACTTTTGGGTTTTAGCTATCTGAGCCAAATTGTCGGCTAAGTGTCCTCTTTTAGGGCACCCAGAACCGAAAACTATATAGGTATATAATATGTTTTTTTTTTTAATTATTTTTTAATATGTATGCAGCTTGGATGAGGGCTTTAGGAAGAGATCCTAAGACTGAACAATGACTGCTATAAATGCCGTTTTTAGAGCACATTTCATAGTAAGTGATTTCATTCTAGCAGCAATGAGGAAACGTTTAAAGAACATGCTGTACCAGCTATTACTTTAAGACCTCGTCTCTTTAAGTTATTATTACTTCATTCTAATGGCATATATTAAAATGGTTTTTAACTTATGTCCTTATGATTAAAAGATGTAGGTATTTTAGTTATGTTATAATAGAAATATATGATACTTTGTATTGACTGGTCATTCCACTTTTGCTCCCTTTTTTCATAAATTATCAAATTATTTAAAAACAAATACATACCTAGCTATTTTCTGTAAATTACATTAAAATTTTAGTATTAATACTTTACCAATAAAACTTCAGTTAATTTATCTTATATATATATACACAACGGAAGAGTTAATTGGATTTTCTCCTTGTTGAATTTCAAAAATAGTAATTTAACATGATTTAAAAACAAATACATGAAATGGGCAAAATAGGCCTGAAAAGGCACTTTGTAAACAATCTCACTTGTATCGATGTGACGTAATGCGCGAATTCAATCTGGCTTACTTTTGTTAATAGATTGGCGTTCCATTTTAAATATACAGTTCACCGGGAATAGATTATTTAAATATACACGGACCGGGAAAACAAGTACGAAAAAATTCACTGGCTCCTGGACTAGTACTGTATCGAAGGAATTTTTATGAATGAAACAATATACGATCCTCCACAATTGCGGTCTACTCTACTTCCGCTGTTGTCAAACATTATTTTTTTTTGGACAATTTAAAGACCTACCAGTAATTCAAGCAAACGCAATAACATTACTACAGTTAAAAACATCGCAAACTTGGCATCAATATATTAATTTTATTCAAATATTGCATTTCTGTCGAGGATCATCCGCGTTGACTTCAGAAATTGTGTAATCTGTATTGGTTATATATATCTATAGTTAAAAGCACGTAAACTTGGCATCAATGTTCAATCCGATTATTGAGTTTCTACCGCGGACACCACCGTTCATTCTTCAAACATTTTGTAAATAATCCTATCTGTCTTGGTTATATATCTATGGTCAAATCGCACCATCAATCATCTGTAAGTCGCTCCAGAGAGTAACGAAAAATAATTATAATAGCCGTCCCTTTCCCCGGACAAGTTCAGCTTTTGGAGTTAAAATTTACTCGTAAGAGGGTGAATTAGGGAGAGTATTATTATTGTTATTATTAGTTATTAAATATCTCGAAAAACTAAACCAAACAATAATTGAAATCTTATTCATTAAATATGAAAATACTGTGGTGCAGATTTCGAAAAACAAAGTAAAAATATACATTGATAACGTTGTTTAGTTTGTTTATTTTCAAAACAGCCCTCGTATTAATAAAAGTAAAAGTATGCGCAAAAAAGTTTAAAAATAGGGAACGACACATCTGGATTATGCAGCCACCAACTCCCATCCATCATAATCATTTTGCCTACGTCAAAAACCCATTAAATATGCCAATTATTAATAGCATCATGCTTAAACATTAATATTAATATTCCAAACGAAAACTACCTATCTACAAGATTACCATCTTGATCAAGTCAAGGTATAATTTAGCTCATTATTTGATTTATAAATGTATACAATTTCACTGTTGATGATTATAATCTGGAGCTTTTTTGTTGAATTATTCGTATGCAAATAACTAAAAAATTTAATTGAAATGTTATTAATACTAGAACAGCGGACGTCTCAAGCTGTTAATTTACGAGGATCTGCTGAAAAATTTGCACAATTTTGTTTAGTCAGATATAAACGAAAAGTTCTAATGAAGTATCTAATTGTCACAAACTATGACCACATAATTATGAATGTAGAAGAGCTAGAAATACATTCCATTATGTTGATACTTCTTATGCCCAAGTAACAAAGGGTTCTGTGCAAACACATCAAATAAACTATCCACAAATTATAATTAAACCAAGAGTACCTCAAAATTACCAAAAAACCAGGATGATGTTGAAAAAAATATTAAAAAGCATTGAAAGTTGGAGTTAAGAATATGAAAACTCTTAATTCAGGTGCATTAATTATTATATGTTGTAATAAACAAGGACTGAATGTCTTAGAAGTGTCAAAAATAAGACGGGTGGGTCATAACTATGTGGATAAAATGTTTATTCTTCTTCTTAAATAATAATAATAATAAAAAAAATTAACTAATTTCAATTTATTTCTAAAATCTTATACTTAATTTCAATGTGAATTCATCAGAATTTCTGAATGAGAAAGAATTTTTCCCGCAAAATTGACAATTGTTGATTATTGTCATGTAAATAAACACTATCTCTTAGGAGTAATAAAATAATGACACTATAATAGCATCTTTGTTAAAAAACGCATCAAAGTAATACAGTTAAAATGTAAGAGCTATTATTCAATCCATTCAAAACTAATAGAGCATTGACTTGCAGAAAAAAAATAAGACATACCATTAAGAATCCAAGTTCAAAACTGTTAACCAAAAAAAAACTTTATATAAACACTCACACTCACAAGACACTTATATCAGTCAGTCAATTTGTCAACACAACAACATAATGTTCAGTATTATTGTGTTTACCACTTTGTTTATTTTTTTCACAGATATTTTCTTTGAGAACGTTTTTAGTAAGAATTTCACAGGATTATAAGTATAGTACAATTTTTTATTGTGCATAAACTTATTTAATACTCAGAAGAATTAATAAAATAAAAAAATGTATTATTTTTTCCTGTTCTAATGGGTGTGTATCCTGTACGCACTCGCATTTTCACAATCATCCTAAATACGTAATGCGGACTCGAATTATCCTTGAAATTGGATGAACACGCTTCGATAGCAACTGAACAACTGAAAAGTCTACGTGCGAAATTAGATGGCCACACTCAATACAAGTCATATCATATCAATATTATTGGTACTTATCGAGAATCATATAATACCAATATAGATAACAGGGATATGAGGAGGTAAAGTTATGTATGAATTAATTTGCGTTCGATCTGAAATTATTTTCAGGATCAGGATAAACACAGATACCTGACACAACTAATAACCATTACTTGCAATGAAATAAGGATTATACGGTCGATATAATTCAGGAAAACTATTCTTAAAAGATGCCTCTGAGATGTTTGTTATACAACTACAAGGTCATAAAAAATAGTTAAGCGACTAACGAAGGGTTGTTAATTGCCTTTGAATATAAATTATTCGGAACGTCAATGATTCGTCCTTGATCGAATAGGGCGAGGTAGACAGCTTGGCATTGGTGTCATCCTCGTTCGTCCTCGAGGTTCTGTTGTGTAATCGCAACCGTACCGCGAAGAACGCAACAAAACAGTAAAGCCGCAAAAAGTGGAAGAAGTTGCACTCGACCAAAGATTACCTAATAAGTAATAAGTTTTCCGCTTCTGCTTCTGGTAAAGTAACCGAGCCTGTGTTGGCTGGCAACGTCCACTTTGGGTAAATCAAGGATGTTGACTTTACCGGGATCTGATAATGCACAAACTTCTGCGTATAGCGAGGATTACTATTTTGAACGCGTCCACTGCAGTGTCGCCAGAAAAGCGAATTTTTAAAATAATTTACAACAGGTTTCAAGAACGTTGATTAAATATTGCGAGATAGAGTTTGAGAAATGTTTGGATAGCAGATTTAATTCTCAAGATATGTAAAAGTTTATTGGGCCCATAAATTTTAATGAATGCTAATTCAACCGGCTGTTAGTTTGATTAAAATTTAAGAGCGGTATACAGTGTCTCCATCATCAAGAATTAAAAAATAATTACCCTACTAATCGATTGATTATACCTATTTGTAGAAATTCTAAATGAATATACAAGAGAAGGTGTTAATAAATTCAGATTTATTCAAAATGCTTAGGTCACTCTCTCTATACATATATAAAAGAAGAAGCTACTAAACTGCTTTAAGTTCAGTTTGGAAGTGTAAAAATTGAATTAATAGATTTACGATTGTTTTGAATATCTAATAAATGTATTCTTAAAATATAATAATACTATATTCACTATCCTTTACGAGTGAATACCCCAAAAGCTGTCTGAGATTGTCCGGGGAAAAACTATTATTATTATTATTATTTGCCCTGGTGCTCCGAAGCAAGCGATTTACAGATGAATAGTGCTGTCATTTCACTTACAGGTAAGAAAAACTCTGAAAATGCCACCCACCATATAGAAACCTTCAAATAGTAGGTGGACCTTAAAATATTGTGTTTGTTATTTGCGAATATAAACTACAGGGTGTCCATCTATAAATTGACACATTTTAACAACTTATAACTCGAGAATTAAAAAAGATATCGAGATGCAGTTTTCACTAGACCTTCTACATTTACTTCAAGTTTTTCTTGACATTGTTGCCACATGTAATTTTTTTCTGGAAAGTGTCGAAAAAAAAAAACAAAATTGTGAGCTTATTTTAAATAGAACACCCTATAATTTTTAACATCCTCGGAAAGACCATTTCTTCCTCTTTCCAAAAATGTATACATTGTAAGCATTTACTTTATTTTTTTAGGGAAACATTCACTTTTTTATGCAACCATGTCAATAACTTCCAAACGTAAAGTATCACAATTAATTAACTTATAATTTGGGAGTAAGGCAATGTATTGATAAAAGGTTTTCACCAAAATTCTTGGAAATGTTTAAAGTTTTTTCTAACATAGTTGCCAAATCTTAAACTTGTAAAGTATTCGTAAAAAAAAATTAAATTCAGATTAAGGTCTTATGGCGAATGAAACATTTCGTATCTCTCATAGTCATTAAATAGTTTATTTCTTCGCATTTTAAAAAAAGTCAATTTTTTATAATTTTTTTGTTGCTTTAATAGGTTTTAATTTTAGGTAATTAAATCAATGTTAACGGTGTCTATTACATTTTGGTGGCACATATCGAAATATAAATTGACGTTTTACATCGAACGATCATTGATAAGATACTGTTTTTCATTGCCTTGTTCCTTAGGTATAAATTTCAGAATAATATCAAGTAATGATATTTTACTTATAAAGACAGAGGGGAGCACCTCATACCACACGGATTTTTGTGGCGTAAGTGGTGTCCCACCATGTTGGTACCTATTTGAATTTTTATTAAATACAAAAAATGTACTAAAACATTAATAAATTAATTGTTGAATATGGCCTCCATTTTGTTCAATACATGTATGCAGATGCATTAAAATTTGTAAATGCATTTTGCAGCATTTCTGGGGTAATTGTATTAAACACATGAATTATATTATTCCTCAGTTCAGTTAAGTTTGTAGGTGTTGGATCGTAGCATCTTTCTTTAACATACCCCCATATAAAAAAATCTGGTATAGTTAAATCCGGAGAATATGGAGCCCATTCGATGGGACCAGCCTGACCTATCCATTTATCTCCAAAGAATTCCTGGCTACAAATGCGGTGGAGCACCATCTTGCTGGAAATATACAGTATTTAGTATTTCTTCTTGTTCTAGTTGAGGATAAAAGAATAGTTCTAGCATATCTGTGTAATTGTTTCCATATACTGTTTCCTCTTGAAAGAAAAATGGTCCATACATTTTGGTTTTGGACACACAAACACCATACATTTACCTTGGGAGCATATCTTTCAAACTCGTTGAAAGCTCTAGGATTTTCGTCACCCCAAATCCTACAATTGTGTTTGTTTACGCGTCCACTTAAATGAAACGTTGCTTCATCTGACATTATTAGATTTACATTTGGTTGATGTCTAAATAAATCTAATAACGTCTCACACATAAAAACTCTCTTTTCAAATGCATTATTTTCAATTTTATGAAAAGTCTGAACCTTATTATGCTTTAAACATGATTACTTTTAAAATTTTATGCACCTTACTCTTTGACATATGTATGGATTGAACAATTTTTCTAATAGATATTTTATTATTGTTTCTTGCTAAAATTTCCCTTATCTGTATAACATCATTTAAAATAATATCTTGAGCTTTTTCAATTTGTCTTTTTTTTCTATCTAATGTTCCCGTTTCTTTAAACTGACTTAACCAGTTTAAAATAGAATTTCTAAATCTTCTTTGTGTATGTGTAATTGATCTACTTTTAATATAAAGTAAAACGCACCGGGCTTTTTCACTTTTGGTAAACATTTTTTAATACCTGCTTTCTCTTGCACTAATTAATACAAATATAGACTTCTGTCAACTCGATTTGTTTTACATAGCATCCTTGATAAATTAGTAGTATCATTTATTGACTCATTCATATTCTATCCAAAGCTGAGTAAGTTAATTTACAAAAGAGGAATATTAAATAGACAAAAAAAACAGATATAGGTACATATTGAAAACGCTTAATACATTCTTTTAAATGATGATTTATGGATAAAGGCTTGCAAATAAACGTTACAAATACGAAGAATTTTATTCATCATAAGCCCTTAATCTGAATTGGTAAAAGTAATCTTTTACGAAAATTTTAGACATTTGAGACTTTACAACCATTTTATAAAAAAAAATAAACATTTCCCAGAATTTTAGTCAAAACCTCTTATCAATAAATTGTCACATTATCGAGTTAAAGGCTTTTAAATTGTGATACTTTACGTTTAGAAGTTATCGACATGGTTTCATAAAAAAGTAAATTTTTCCCAAAAAAATTGAATAAATGCTTACAATGAATACATTTTTGGAAAGGGAAAGAAATGGTCTTTCCGAGGATGTTAAAAATTATAGGGTGTTCTATTTAAAATAAGCTCACAATTTTGATTCAAAAAAGTTCGTTTTTTTTTTCGGCACTTTCCAGAAAAAATTACATGTGACAACAATGTCAAGAAAAACTTGAAGTAAATGTAAAAGGTCTAGTGAAAACTGCATCTCGATATTTTTTTCCGTTTTCGAGTTATAAGTTGTTAAAATGTGTCAATTTATAGATGGACACCCACCCTGTATTATATGATTTTTTTACAAATGCTAGTGAAGCTAGTTAGGTTTGGTAAGAATATATGCCATTTTTTTTTTAAATATTGTGATTTAAATGATATAGAGACATTTTCATTGCGTCAATATTCAAATAAATTAAGATTCGACTATAAAGCGACATTTTCTCATCACTCTAAGTGCGTCTATCTGTCATATATCGTAAAATAGTATTTATGTCGCCCGGATTTCATTCTATTTCGATAGATAAAAGTAATTCCTATATAAAGGTTTTCAATTTCGTAAAGTTAACAATGCTTGAATATCTGTTACAAGTACCTAAGCAAACAAAACTAAATAAAAAAAATATTTTTGTTGTAAATTAATTTTCCTGTCCTATTTATCAAAATTTTTATTTATAAATCACTCAAAAAATGCTTTCTCAATAATTTTCGTTCATTGTGTCCAAAATGTAAAATAGTTACATTTAAGAAATATTACGTGCATGGATCCCTTTAGAGGATAAATTCATTTTTAGTTACTGCCAGCGCCACACATCGCACGAACTCTTTAACTATGAAAGTACGATACTTCGCCAATAGCTGGCGCTGCCAAGCAAATTTGTTTCATTATTCGTAATATAATCAAGATATTTATCTATTTTTTAAAAATACATTAAATTTAAATGTTTCAATATGCATTTTAAATATCTGATCATAATTTTAGACAATTAAAATATAATTTAAAAAGTTGTTAATACTGTTGGATATAAAATGGATACCTCTCCATTCTCAAGGCAAAATCTTTAGAGGAACTCGCGTCCGCCATGTTCTGTCCAGTAAAATTTTTAAAAATTCATTAAAAAAGGATCTAAATTTGAAATGCCAAGTTTTAAAAATGTATAAAATTAAAAATATAATTATGTTTGCATAAAAATCAATTAAAAATTAGTCGCCATGTTCAC